AGCTTCCATGAGATGGAGCTCACGCACCATGGCAGCTCTTCCGACCGGGGTCACAGAGTCAGACCGTAGTCGACTAGTCGACTAGTCGAAGTGGACCGAAGGGACCGAGCTGACAGGGAAGAGTAGAGGTTTGGACCTACAGCCACACCTAGATCTTCCAAGTATGCAACATGTCTGCTTAACTTAACTTTGGGCTGGCTTTACAAATGAAAAAGCGCGCATGTTGCACAGTAGGATCTAGGATGATCTAGGTATGATTTGCTCTTCCATGCTTTTCCAATTCGGCCCTCTCAAAGAGAGGCGACGACCTCTCAGCTAGACCTCCCACATGTTCTTCCTCTTCTACACTTAAAGTGTACACTTGAAGTGGGTGGGGTTTTGGAAGATTGAGGAACATGTGTGAGGTATTGGAGGTTTACAGTCGATCTCATGGATATCCACAAGTATAGTGTAAGAACCTCATCCTCAGGCGTGTTTTGTGTGGGTGTAAGATCAATGGGTCAATGCCTACCTACCTCCTTTTCGGATGTGGGACAGGAGCCCTCCGGGGTAGTCCATGGGTGACACCAAACAGAAGGTACCGACATGACCAATGTTCTCTCACAGTCCTCACAAACCAAACCTGAACGACTGGAGCTGAACTCTCATGGACATGATATACTTCTGAGACTCTATACAAGTAGCACTTCCCTATATCCAGGCTTGGGCATTTTTTGCTCCCCTTCTGGACACCACCCACTACATCTTTCCGGACTCCCTGCATCTGCGGATCTCTGCGGATCTTCTTTTGAACTCCAAGAATTGCACATCTCGGTCTCTGTGCTCTGGGAGTTCCAAACCCCAGAGGCTTCGGTCGCAAAAGGGATGACCAAAGGGCGCCCGCGCGTTTTCCGTGGCTTCGAACTCGGACGTGCCATTTCTTGAGCGGTGGGGCTAGATGCTTGGATAAGCTGCCATGGAAGGGAAGGACTTCTTCTGGAAACTGGCGCTTCATCACAGTTCTCAAAGAAAGCATGGCAAGATATATTTATGGGTATGTATAAAAATTGAGAGATCAAGGGGAATAGACCAGTCCGCCCTTCTTGGTTGGCGGTCGCCCCTTTCAAAAACACACCCTTCTCAAGCTTTGCTTTGCCTTTGAATCCGGTTTTCCCAGCGGAATTCCGACCTCTGACGTGGCAAGACCTGTATTTGTTCCCCTCCCTGGTCGCCAGTGACGCAAACAATGGCAACAACTTTGAGATCTTGGTACTGAAAGCTCTACCACCTTTGACGGACGACATCTTGCCGTGACAAACTCTTGCAGGAGTTTCCTTTTGCATCAAACGAATCTTGATGACCATCCATGGGACTGGAAGAGTTACAGTACATACCATTAACCCCGTAAAAATGACCCCATCCATGGTAGCGTAAATATTTCTCCAATCCATGGATTGGATCTCCGGATCTCATAGCAAGCGGTTGGTTCTCGACCGACGTTGTTCGCCCCCAAAAGGATTGGAACTGAGGGGAACTGATCCGAAACGATCCTTTCCATCGTTGGGAACACACGGAAGAACCAAACCCGAATGGACCCGACGAATGGACCCGACCATGTGAGTTTGCATTCGAAAGTCACAAGACTTTTGTACCAAACATCGGAAAATCATCACTCAATATCTTGAAACCCGAAGCTACTCACAGGACGAGTGGTCTTGATGTGTCGTTGCACGTTGGTGGCCATCTGTGGCATGGCCGAGTTCGGGACGTGGCAGGAAGGGAGCTGAAGCAGCTGCAATTGGCGAGAAGTGGATCGCGCGTCTTGACCGACACAGGACCGAATTTAGCACCTGAAGAAGTCCATTCCCCCCCTTAAAAGGTTAAACCATACCTGGTAGTGGTGTGACAAAAGAACATGCACGTGGAAAGTTTGGTTTACCTTTATTCAGTACCTGGTAACCCTGAAGAGTGATAATTATCACTCCATTTTGATATCATCAATCTATTTGGAAAGTGGTGTGACAAAAAGCACTCAGGAGTGGATAAAAATCCGTCCAACCGTAATTGCGTTCAGATTGCGTTCAATTAACGTTCGCTTCGCGTTCAAGATACGTTCGCTTTGCAACAGAAACCATTCTGGAGATTTCTGGAGCAACTATTCTCACTCCCGAGTGCTTTTTGTCACCCCACTTCCCCAAAGATTGATCATTTCAATTTGGAGTGAACATTATCACGTGCAAAGGTAAACCAAACTTTCCACGTGCATGTTCTTGTTTAGTACCAATTCCATCCAATCCAGAAACAAGGTTATAAAGGATGATAAAGGTTGTCCACTGACTGGGTAGGAATACGGAGTTGTCTCCTTTTGAAACGAAGACTTAAGGAGAATCATGTCCAATTTGGATCAAGAGAAGGAACCAAACTTCTCTCACATTCCAAAATCCCCAAAAAAACACTACCAGTTATCCCAAGGGTGGTCATAGGCTGAACCACTTCATGTTCTAATCCTTTGTCTCCTCAAGGAAACTACCGCAACCTATACCCGAAATCGGTTTTGGTGATTTTCTAGTGGTGAACACAGTCACTCAGGTCTGGACGGCGGGGTGGCATGTTTTCAGGATCCGAATGCACCACTGGAGTCTCTGGACGAGGAAAACAAGGCCAACGGGACCTGAGTTCATCTGCAAAGACCACACGGGCAAGTTCAGCACGCACACAAGGGCCTTTGATGCCAAAAAACAGCCGCCATTTACAGATGTTTCAAACACCTATAGCCTACAGCCTGTGCACTTGTAGCAATATGTCTAGCAATGTACCTTATATATACTGTAGCAATAGGATTCCTGTTCTTTCGCCCCCGGGTCCAAAGGTCGCCGTGCTCGTCGACGCTGACTCACCACCCATTTCGCCAGCCGGACGTCCGTGCCCCGGGTTGGCCCAGATCATCTGTTTCGGCTCTTTGGCCAGACCCCGAAAGAAACCCATGAGACATCATGGAACTATTGGCCGTTGAAGATGGATGGTTTCAAGATGTTTGAAGGATTCATGGTAAATCTTCCAGTCCCATGGATTGTTCGGGAGCAGAACTGCGAAAGAGCACTAGGACCGACACGTCTGGCCGCTCCCAAGCGGAGGCAGGTTAAACTTCGTTGGTCCTGGTCCCGACCCAGTAGTTTTGGTGGGTCCTGGGGTTAAAGACCGTGGTTCGTTGGCCAAGGTCTCGTCTTACACAGTTCGCCGAAAGCATCCGAAAACCAACATCTTTCGAACAGGGAGTCTCATCAGGGGTGGGTTCATGAAGGGTCATCAAAACTGTCAACAAATTGAAACACCTTTTACAAAAATAAAAAACCATTAGGTAAACATTGGAAAACATTACAGAACATTAGGAAACATTACAGAACATTAGAAAACATTAGGGAGAATTGAGGAGATAATTAAGGTAAGAGTGTGTTTCAAGGGTTGGTTCAACAGGTTTCATGCCTGTGCTGCTTCAACTGACTGAAGCCATTTGGGCTGAACCCCTGGCAAGTCTGACTTTCAAGTTGGCTCATAAGCCATGGGCAAAGAGAAGAAGAGCAAGAAACAAAGGACACTTGGTGCTGATCCCAAGTGATATGCATAAAAGCTGGTCAAAGATTCATGTAGTTGTGGTGTAGATGTTTTTGTGAA